GTCTCTTAAAGGCTTCGTGAATCTTATCAGCACTCAACTCATGATTGGTTGGCCACCTCAGAATGCGAGGTCTAGCGTCAGGGGCAGCAGGAGTTAAAAGAGAAGTGTGCTCGTAAAACCAAAGCTGAGGATGTTTTACACCATCAACCACCATTAACATGTATGCAAAAGTTAATACAACAAAACAAAAAATCAGAAGAGTAATGTTTCAATGTAAAGAACAAATACTTACCTTTAAAATAAATACAAATCCTTGGATATAGCCAATCGATTTATTCTGCCTTAATTTTATGGAGGCGATTCTCACTTGATCGATGAGCATATCACATATGACAGCAGACCAATTAAAGAACGTAAAAGCTTGTACATTTACAACAAAAGAAGATGGCTCTGTAGGTACATGAAAATTGCTTGAAAGAAAAAATAAATTAGTTAGTATGAATTTCAAATACAACTGCTCAAAAGGAGGGGTGGAAGCTTCTTCTGCAAAAAAGTTTCTCAGTTGGTTCTTTATTTGTTTGGCATCCACATTTGATAGGGGTCCTTTTTTCCATGAAACAGGCTCTCCTCTGTTTGGCAGTCCTATCAACAAAGTCACGTGGTCAGCATGTAACTTAACCTCCTTTCCACCCATTTTGAAGACCCCCCTGTCATTATCCCAACATCTCAGAATATGTAAAGTCATGACATTGTCCTGGGGATATGGGAGCATGTCAAAGAAATTGAACACCCTAATTTCTTTTAAATTATTAATAGTCTCATCTGAAAGCATATCTCGAATTGCATCCAAGGCACCTCTCACTACAGATGGACGACATCTACAGTTGAAAGTCCTTACACTCATGATCCTGTAAATTAAAGAAACAATAACACATTATTAGAATAATAATCACAAGAATAGTACAAGAAATTGATGTGTTATTCTAAATCAACAATCACCCTTAACAGAAGCACAAGAATAATACATGAATAAGACGAGAATAATACAAGAGTAATACACCGACATAGCACAGTAATAACCTTACACAGAAGCATGAATAATACAGAAGCATAACTAGTTACACACCAGTAACACATGAATAACACATGAAGCACACTTAATTAATAATCACCCTAAACACATCAATAATACATGAATAACACAGAAATAACACATGAGTAACACACCAGTAACACAGTTAAAACACAGGAAAATAATACATGAATAATACACGAATAATACGAGAATAACACATCAAAAAATATGTCATTAATTAACAATCACCCTAAACAGAATCTACCCACTTCAATAATACATGAACACGGAAATAACACAAGAGTAACACAATTATAACCCTACTAAATAATACATGAATAATACAATAATAATACAAGAATAACACATCAAAACTGTGTCATTAATTAACAATCACCCTAAACAGAATCTACCCACTTCAATAATACATGAACACGGAAATAACACATGAGTAACACAATTATAACCCTACTAAATAATACATGAATAATACAATAATAATACAAGAATAACACATCAAAACTGTGTCATTAATTAACAATCACCCTAAACAGAAGCATATCACATGAATAATACATGAATAATACGAAAATAACACATGAGTAACACACCAGTAACACAGTTAAAACATAGGAAAATAATGCATGAATAATACACTAATAATACGAGAATAACACATCAAAACTATGTCATTAATTAACAATCACCCTAAACAGAATCATATCACTTCAATAATACATGAATAACACAGAAATAACGCATGAGTAACACACCAGTAACACAGTTATAACCCTACCCAATAATACATGAATAATACAATAATAATACAAGAATAACACATCAAAACTATGTCATTAATTAATAATCACCCTAAACAGAAGCATATTACATGAATAACACAAAAATAACACATGAGTACCACACCAGTAATACAGTTAAACCACATGAAAATAATAGATGAATAAAACAAGAAAAATACAAGAATAACACATCAAAACTATGTCATGGATTAATAATCACCCTAAACAGAAGCATATTACATGAATAACACAAAAATAACACATGAGTACCACACCAGTAATACAGTTAAACCACATGAAAATAATAGATGAATAAAACAAGAAAAATACAAGAATAACACATCAAAACTATGTCATGGAGATATCTGTGAGTACACCGAATTTGGTTTTATGCAGTTATTGAGTAGGGTTTTTCCCATGCTAATGATTTAAAGCCATGTCATGTTACTTGTGTGGTATTGATGTGGTATTGTTATATTTTTGATATATTACTGATATATTACTAATGTGCTATGCTATTTATGTGGTATTGTTGTGATATTTTTGTGTTACGAATGTGTTACTTGTATTTCATTACTCTGGTTTAGGTGCATACCGTGATTTTAACGAACAATCGGAAGCCATGGTAACCCGGAAGCCATGGTCACCTTTGCTTGCACCTTCGCTTGCGTTGGAGGATGCGCTTCGCCGGAGAATGCGCTTCGCCGAGGAAGACTATAAGAGAGAAAACCCTGAACTCGTAATAGTGCGGAGAAAATGAAAAGACATATTAGGCGGGTTCAGGTTTTCCCTCAGGCCGGGTCGCGAATACAAAATAAATTTATATATTTTTTTATTTTTATTAATATTAATAGGTGGGGCCGGAGGTTACACATGGTGGCATTTGATTCGATACGCATGCAGCTTAACATGCGTAGTACTGAAAGAATATTTTCTCCATTTAATATCTGCATTTAGGAGTAGTTTTTAGATAAACACAATCTTAATCGACCTTCCAACTTAAGACTTGATAGTAGTAGGCTAGGATTTCGCCTAGGGGCTTTGTTACCTCGCTTCTCTGTGGGATCAACACTCTAAGACTTTTAAAAAAAACTCTATATTACTTTACATGATACATATACTTGCGTAGTACTCATAGTGTGTAAACTATTTTCTAAATTTTATAACATTTCAATTTTGCACACTAGTCGCTAAACATAAATCCAGGTCAATTTTTTACCATCTTTTGGAAGCTAAATTACTGCGTAATTGCGGGTCGGGTCAGGTAACACTTTGCCGCTTCTTAAATTTACTTATGTTATGTCTTCTATTTCTTGGGTTGGACCGAGGGACTTCTCTTCCGGAGTGGTGACTAGTTACTCTGGATTTGCTTCTGAATCCAATAATTCTAACTCAATTACAATTTGTGGTCCCTCGAATTCGAAGACTGGTGCTTCACTTTCTGAGCTGTCGTAGCCCGTGTCGTTAGTGTCTTCCTTTTCCTCATTGACGAGTTCATTGGGATTTTGTAAGATTTGAGGATTTTCACATGAATTGAAATTTAAATTAAATTGGTTGTTAGTTACGTAATTACTAGAGACGGTTAAAATGTAGTCGAAATCGTAACTCTTTGCATTATAGGTTCCCGGAGGAACATAAGGATAACCATATAGAGTCGGCAGTTTGAGGGATTTCTCCCCCAAATCTGAAATAACCAATCGATAATAAGCATCCCATACTCTACTCTTCACATCATCAGTCTTCGTCTCCTTGGCATCTTTCTTCTTCTTTTGTTGTGGTGGCGACCTCTCTGGCGTGATTAACAGTACTAACCAGACAGGTTGTATACTCTGAACAGAGTCTTGGACCAAAGCTGTCTGAATCTGATCCAATATTTTCTTGGAAGATCTAGTCTAAATTGTACTCCATCTATCATCTGTTGCATATGGATCAATCAGGACACTTGGCTCAGCTAAAATCTCGTTGACAAAATCTTTTTCTGGTTCTCTGAAATATTCTTTCAGAATTATGATGCTTCCGTTTCTGTAGTTTCTCTCGAGTCAATCCTTGAAACTGATGCAATCCTCTATGGTGTGTCCCAACAATCTGTGATATGGACAATATGTAGGGTGATCGTTTTTGTTAACCTCTTCTGGTTCATTCGACTCGGGCAATCTGAACTCGGGTTTATTGATCAAATTCCGACACTTCTTTCCCACTACCTTGTTCTTGAAGGAATATACTTTGCTTAATTATTCCATCAAGGTTGGTTGCTGACCTTCGTCCATATGGTAGGGTCTGGGCTGAAATGGCTGCTGACTGTGTTGTTGCTAATGTTGTTGGTTGTGTTGCTGGCTGTTTTGTTGTGAGCGTTGGTAAGTTTGTCGAGACTGCTCAGTATGAATCTGCATTGGTTGTTTGCCTCTTTCTACTGTTGTCACCATCCAGACTTCTTCATGAATGTCTTTGCTGGCTTTAACTTGTCTTGGCTTTTATAGAAATCCTAGTTATTTGGCCTCTTCCTGCAAGCTTGCAACCTTACAGAATAGCTTCTCGAAAGTCTTGATCATGAATCATATGACATTTTATTTTCATATTGTAATCCAAAAATTGACATTCATACTAAATTTCAAATCATATTTTTAATTTTTACCAAATTTTAATAGTTCAATCACATGAATTTCAAAAATTAAAAAAATATATAAATATTAATTTATACCTACTGAAACCTGAATATTATCTCTGTAAATATTTTATTCTATTTCTATTTTTCGTGAGTTGACATTTGAACTCTTGACCTGAAATTACAAGGGCGTTTGCTTTATAAGTCTCCTCTAACAGCTCACCCGCAAACTTGCAACCTATTCTATTTTTCGTGAGTTGGCATTTGAACTCTTGACCTGAAATTGCAAGGGCGTTTGCTTTATGTCTCCTCTAACAGCTCACCCGCAAACTTGCAACCTTACGGAGTAGCATCTCGAAAGCCTTGATTATGAAGGACATTTTATTTTCATATTGCAATCCAAAAATTTACATTCATACTAAATTTTAAATCATATTTTTAATTTTTGCCAAAATTTAATAGCCAATCACATGAATTTAATAAATTAAAAAAAAAATACACAAATATTAATTTATACCTTTGTAAATATTTTATTCTATTTTTCCTAAGCTGACGTTTGAACTTGTGACCCGAAATTACAAGGGCGTGTACTTTTATAGGTCTCCTCCAACAGCTCACCCGCGCCTTCATGGAGTTGAGGGACCTATCCCCCATCCCTCCCTCTGGGAATTTACCTCTTCTTTGTCTCTTCTAACTTATTTTAGATTCAAATCTGCAGTCTCCGATTCCAGTTTTGAAAATTTTAGGTCAGAGATCCTTCCTTGAATGCACAGTGAAGCAGCTGTGGCGGCAGCATGGACGGGTTTGCAGGCATGAGGAAGGTGGCATCGCGCTGCTCCATGGCGGAGGAGGACGACGATCTAGACCTCGCTCGGTTGCTGGACAAGCCGAAGGTCAACATAGAACGCCAGAGATCCTTCGATGAGAGATCGCACAGTGAGCTTTCTATAAACATTCGGGCGATTGATGGCTTCGAGAGCATGTATTCTCCCGGCGGAATGAGGTCCGGCTTGAATACGCCGGCGTGGTCGGCGAAGAACTCGTTCGAAACACACCCTGCGATTGCGGAGGCTTGGGAAGCACTTCGACGCTCGGTGGTTTACTTCCGTGGTCAGCGGGTCGGAACGATCGCGGCTTTTGATCATGCCTCTGAGGAAGTCCTAAATTATGATCAGGTTTGAAATGGATTCTAGTTCTTCGACGACTGCTACTTCATTTTTTTTTTCTTTGTTGATGATGCTGAATTCTGAACTGCTTTGCGATTTTTTAGGGTTTTTTTTTTTGGCTGCAGGCAGGATTATACTCAAGTAGGAATTGGTGAATCCTATAAATCCAGATTTAGTAAATTACTTTATCATTTGAGGAATCATGAAAGACAATTTTCTTAGATTGATTGGATCTTTAGGTCACTCGATTAAAATGAGATTTATTAAATACTTGATTTGATCAATAATGAGACTTGCATTAGATTAAGTCAAAAGTTGAGCTGAATTTATCACGACGATAGGATTTAAAATCCGTAAATTCAATTTTGCAGGACTTGTGGGATGAGTGAGATTTCAAATTGGTTTATCTTTTTAGTGAACATTATTTTTCCAAAAAAAATTAAGTCAGAAGCTGTTCTTCTTATGCTTATGACTTGTCCTAACATGTGATTTACTATGCGTGCAGGTGTTTGTTCGTGATTTTGTACCGAGTGCGCTCGCATTTTTAATGAACGGCGAGCCGGAAATTGTAAAAAATTTTCTCCTTAAAACTCTCCTTCTTCAAGGCTGGGAAAAGAAAGTTGACCGATTCCAACTTGGGGCAGGTGTCATGCCAGCAAGCTTTAAGGTTCTTCATGATCCTCATAGGGAAGTTGACACTATAGTTGCTGATTTTGGTGAGAGTGCAATAGGTAGAGTTGCACCAGTTGACTCTGGATTCTGGTGGATTATTCTGTTGCGTGCATATACGAAGTCAACGGGCGATCTCTCACTCGCTGAAACTCCAGAATGTCAGAAGGGAATGAGGCTTATATTAACTTTGTGCTTATCAGAGGGATTCGACACATTCCCAACCTTACTTTGTGCGGATGGATGCTCAATGATAGATAGAAGGATGGTAAGAACTAGCACACTTCCTTCTCTTTTTTTTTCTAAATGTGCTGTATTATGAAAGATTCAGAGTTTTGAGCAATTAAAAATATACAAGTTAAACCTTCCATTTTTCACTATGATTTTGCATTCTAATGATTTTTTTAAATTAATTTCTTGTTTTGCCTTGGTTAACTTTTTTTCTTTTTGCTTAGTTTTTGATGTCTTGAAAACTATATAGTTTCTATATGAAATCTTGAACCTGTGAGATACTATTTTTCTCTCTTTATGACTCATTTGGTTGCATGTTGACTGAAGGCATGTTATAGAAAATATTAATTTTATTTTTATTCATTATTCTCGCAAATGTGAAATTGTCAATTTTGAGGCTTTTTGAAGCTGTTTTTTGAGTTTAAAGTAATAATGATTTCTAATTACAGCCATCCAAATGGTTGAATCATGGAAATTCATTTTCTCTTTTTTAAATATGATAGAGAGCTTAAAATTTTTTCTCCTTTACTTTTTGGTCAGTTTATAGTTTCGGCATAGTAGCAATTGCGGGCAACTTAACAAATAGCGGGTGCCATAATAACCATGGGCATGATAGTAAACTGTAGTTATTGCAACAAATGAGTATAAGGAAGATTTCGGATAGGAGTTTTGCATACTAGGAAAACTCAGCCATTCCTCTTATTGCTTGTTCTCATCATCACATTAAAAGAACTGTATCGGATCAACATTATTAAGAAAAAGCTTTATTCATCTTATAAGCTTTCCACACTTTCATTTTTTAATCATACTTTAGCATCAGAGCTCTAGTTCAAACCCATTGGATTTTTTTTCATGGTTAAATTCAGAATTAAGAAGGATACTCTTAGCAATTCCATGCATCCTACGGATTCTGATTGTGAGTAGTGCTGGTGTATAACTAGAGGTGTTCTTAGTATGAATGAACAGATATCCAAGCAAAAACCTGATCACATGGCTATGTTGGAGGAACAAATGGTCATAATCATTGCTATTTTTGAAGATCTTGTTGTATTAACATCTGCTTTGCCAAGCAAAAGCTGGAGCCACTTCATTGAGATGAAATAGATGAAATTGAGGCAACAGATATTTTGTTTTAGCATCTCTAAGTGTGTCATAGTTTATGATTATCTAGATAAAAAAAGCTATTTTCGCTTGTTTGGAATTCTTTTCAGACGCATTAATATGATGAAATTTACAATATAAAAGTTATGTTTGTCAATTTGACATGGAGTTGCAAATATTGTTAGAATTTTATTATATCCCCTTAGGCTTGAAGAGAAAAGTGGATTTGATGACAAATTTGAAGTCATATAACCTGCAAAATGTATAAAAGTGCATAATGAAATTTATAATGCAGGCAACTGCTCTTGTTGATTTAAAAATTTGTATTTAAAAAATATGCAGCAAAGTTTCTTGAAAGCCTTCACACAAAATTGAAGCTTTTTTCTTGATGTTGGCATCTTTGAAGCTAGTGCAAAAATTATAACTCTTGAGGAAAGAAACATTACTTTTTCCTGTGGGCTCCAAAAATTCATGACCGCTTCCCAAGGACAACTCTGAATATTATTTTATTTTAATCGTTGAGAGAGCTTTAGAGGGTCGAATTTTTAGAAGGCGGATTGGATTATAGATAAGACACCACCCTCTTTTAGCGAGGACTTTTTGATGTGTGGTTTGAGGTTTCTCATAGGCACAAACCCCTATGGTTCATTACCCCTCCTGATGACAGGTGAGCACTTTCGATTAAGGCTAGTTCTTAAAAATTTAGAATTGAATAAATAATAGCAACGGACTCTGGATTTAAATTGTAAAATTCATCATTTGAAGCTTAAAGCAGATGATAGGGGAATGAAAGACTAAACCCAATCAAAATCTCATGGTTCTGTCATCCCGGTCCGTCATGATCCTTGATCTACTTAGTAGAGGAGGTAGTAATCCGACATAAGGATTCTTATCAACAACTATGTGTTACGTCGTTCAAGAGATCTTTGTAGATCTGGGATGGATGATTGTCTAAGGAGACAAATCTAAGTTGACCTTAGCTAATAAAATACTTGATATCAATAAATTATTCTCTTATGATTCACAACTCAAATGGTAGAAAACCATTGGGGAACACCGTAATATAATAATGTCATTTGGCTGCAACCACCCGATCAGAGGACTCTGGTTATACCCGTTATTTTGTGGTGTCATTTAGCGGCGAAACCACGTGGACAGAGGACTTGGGTCACGTTCTTACTAGTATGCAATTGTCTTGGTTGTGAATATAGAGATATAGTTGATATGAAATCCACTCTTTGTGAGCTAAAGTCAATAAAAAATTTGTCACCCTCAATAAACTATTGCGGGGGTAGATGAGATTTATCTTTAAGTCTTCAATGATTGAATTTTAGCTTGAATATTAGTTGGTTCTTTGAAAATTTTAATTTTAAAAATTGATACATCCGGTTGAAATCTTAGGTCAACATGATTATCATTAGGGAATTGTTATCTTAAACCCTGTTTATTCTGTCCTGCTTACAAAGAGTCGGGTTGAGTAGAGGAGGCAAGTTTGGCTAACCAGTTAACTCGGCCAAATCCGCTCGGCTCATCTATTCAACCGAATAACTCAATGAGTGAATTTAGTAGGCCAATTTGGTTAACCTTCTAAGAGGACCAATTTGATGCATCTAGTTGTTAATGGTATACTTCCCACCACTTTGACATTTATATTCATTATTTTTTTTATAGCGTATAATGTAACATATTTTGGCCAACACAAATTTATTAAAAGGAGAGGTTATCCCAAGATACAAGTAGCGATTTGTTGAACTTTCTCCTTAAACCACTTCATACTTTGTAGAATCTTGAGTAGTTTTTCCTCTCTATCAGCATTGTTTTTCTAGTTTTTTTTTTCTCATAGCTCTTGGCTAGTTTGTTGGGTTTGTGGAGCTGAAGCACCGACACAGATGACTGAGTACCCGGCGCTTAAGCGCCGGGTTGTGGGCACTCAAGCGCTCGCTTGGACGCAACATAGTGGAGGTGGCACATGGGCACCTACGTGCCCAATATTGGGTGTTTGCTACAGTAAGCTTGGCGCTTAGGTGCCAAGTTCGGGCACCTATGCGCTCGGGGCAATTTTTCATGATCTTTGGTTTAATGGTGAATTTTAATGTCGTGGAGGATAAGTTTCTGTGCAAGATTTTTTTGACAAGTTTCTGGTGAAGTAGAGAAGTGTCGGAGAGGAGGTTGTTTGTGATATCGACCTGTGTTTCTCTCGTCGGATTAGAGTAATAAGAGTTTGAAGCTTGGTCTTGTAAGTTTCTTTGAGTGCGGAGAGTAATTGAGTGTGTTCTCTGTAAATTTTGATTTTAACAGTGGACGTTTTTTGGTGGTGTGACTCCGATGTTTTTCCCGCCTCGGGTTTTTCCATGTTAAATTCTTGTGTCTTTTTTTCTGGTTTGCTTTGTTGTGCTAGTGTTCGTAAGTTTGTTCTGATTTTTCTCGAATCTACTTGATCCTAGTTTGTGGTGTGGTTTAGGTTTTTAATTGAGTCTAAGACCCGGTGAATTTAGAAGGGGATTTTCTTAGTTATTTTCTCAACAAGTAGTATCAGCACAATGTTCGACTCGGGTGGGAGCAATGGTTGATAAAGTAAGGTTTAAAGTGGGGAAGTTCAATGGAAAGAACTTCGCATTTTGGAAGATGCAAGTGGAGGATCTGTTGTATCAGAAAAAGGTTATACTTGCAACTACAAGGAATTACAAGGAAGTTTGAGCCTATGCCTATTAAAGAATGTGAAGTGGTGGATCGAATGACATTAGGTTTGTCCGGTTGTCACTTTCCTTATTTGTTGCGTTCAACATTGTAAATGCGAAAACTATAGTGGATCTCATGTCGTCACTGATCAAGATGCATGAAAAATCTTCTGCTTCCAATAAGATTTTTCTGATAAAGAAGCTATTCAATATGAAGATGGTGGAAGACAGTTTAGTGGCAGAACATTTGAATAATTTCAATACTGTGACGAGCTAGTTGTGTTTTGTGGGGATCTCGTTTGATGATGAGGTCAGAGCATTGGTGATATTATCTTCATTGTCAGATAGTTGGAATGATTTGGTCACGTCAGTGAGCAATTCTTAAGGAAATTCAAAGTTAAACTTCAATGATATTGCAGGTCTGATGTTGAATGAAGATTTTCATAGAAAAAACAATACAACAACAACAAAGCCTTAATCCCACTATGTGGGGTCGGCTAACATGAATCCTTTTTCTCCATTGCGTCCTATTTAGTGTCATATTTTCATTTAGTTCTAGTAAATTAAGATCGTTTTTTCACAATAAGCCCAAGTCTTCTGAGGTCTACCTCTGCCTTTCTTAACACAAATCGAATCTAAAACATCTACTCTCCTGATCGGATCATCAGATGGTCGACGTTTAATGTGACCAAACCATCAAAGCCTGCTTTCTCTAATTTTGTCCTTCACGGGAGTTACACCAACCCTATCACGGATATATTCATTTCGCATTTTGTCTCTAAGTGTAAAGCCACTCATCCACCTAATCATTCTCATCTCGGCAACACTTAACATATTATTATGCTTCTCTTTTAAAGGCCAACATTCAGCGCCATAGAGCATTGCAGGTCTCACCATCGTCTCATAAAATTTTCCTTTAAGTCTAAGCGGTACTTTTATATCACACAAAAGGCCTGAAGCATTCCTTTACTTCAACCAACCAACTTGAATTCTACTATTAACATCGCCATCTATATCACCATCGCTTTGAACAACGGACCCAAGATATCTAAATTGTTCACACCTTTTAATAATTTGATCACCCAAAGTCACACTTCTGTCACTAGAGCTACTACTAAAGTTACATTCATAGAAAAACAATGAATGATGAATTTTTAGGTTCTGCTTTGAATGTTGATAATAAAGAAAAGAATCTGGACAAGAATACAGGCAGAGGCAGATTCAAGTCCAAGAGAGGAAAACCTAAATGAAGCAGAGG